TTTTCCAAACTCTCAACATATATATAGATGGGCCGAATGAGGGGGAGGTGACGGAGTGAAGGCGTGGCCTTCTTGTTTGATTGACATTTGCTAATTAGCTATGGCTTAAGATGGATTAGTCATCAATTAAAACACCTCTTCATGCCACGTTATCTTACCTCTAAATGAAAAAAGGATTTGGACAAACTTTCCACTAAAATACCTTACTTAGCATACGACATTTGCATAATAATAATTAAGAAGTGTACGGCTTTGATGTTTATTAAGGATTAATTGCTAATTAACCCCTTTTTATGTTTAATTATTCAATTAAACATAATACTTAATTACTAAAATTATTCCGAACGTAAACGGTACGTCGAAAATAAATTTCGGTAATCTCGACTGAAAATGATTAATTCCGAAAATTAATACTCGACAATATTAATAAATCGGAATTAAAACATAACTTATACTGACAAAGTGTCGGGATATTACAATCCTCCCTCCTTACAAAATTTCCGTCCTCGGAAATTCAAAACATAACTGATAATACATGAACTATGTACACAGGATAAGGAAATATGTACATCAAAACTGAAAATCTGAAAAACGAGCACGAATATCGGACTCCTCCTCCCAAGTAGCTCCGTGGCGATCCCACTGAATATGCACGAGGGGAATATCTCGCTTCCGGAGCCGACGAACCTGACGGTCTAGTACAGCTACCGGTCGCTCCTCGTACGATAGATCTGGCTGAACCTGAATATCCGTATGAGGAATGACATGATCGAGGTCGCACACGTACTTACGCAACATAGATGCGTGGAAAACATTATGAATGCCTGATAACTCGGGAGGTAGGGCCAATCGATACGCGACCTCGCCTACTCGCTCGAGAACCTCGAACGGACCGATGAACCGAGGGTGCAGCTTCCCTCTCTTTCCGAATCGCACAACTCCGCGAATCGGACGAACTCTGAGAAAAGCTGGCTCGCCAACCTCGAACTGAATGTCTCGTCGATGATGATCGGCTGAAGATTTCTGTCGATTCTGAGCTGTCCTGAGTCTCTGCCGGATCAACTCGACCTGATCTGCCGTCTCCTCGATCATCTTAGGATCGAGTACTCGTCTCTCTCCTACGTCGTCCCAATAGAGAGGGGAACGACACCTGCGACCGTAAAGTGCTTCGTAAGGAGCCATCTGAATGGAAGAATGGTAGTTGTTGTTATACGCGAACTCGGCGTACGGCAACAACGACTCCCACTTAGCACCCCTGTCAACAACCAAAGCACGAAGCATATCCTCAAGCGTCTGAATCGTCCGCTCTGACTGACCATCTGTCTCTGGATGGTAGGCTGAACTGAACTCTAACTTCGTGCCCATTGCGTCATGCAAACTGTGCCAGAAGCGACTGACGAATCTGGGATCTCTGTCTGATACAATCGTAACGGGCACTCCGTGGAGTCGAATGATCCCACGGGTATATATCTCAGCCAACTTGTCCAGAGACATCTTCATCGAAACGGGTAAGAAATGCGCGACCTTAGTCAATCTGTCGACCACGACCCAAATAGCGTCGTGATGTTCAGACGACCTCGGCAATCCCGTAACAAAATCCATCGTGACTTCCTCCCACTTCCACCTCGGAATCGGTAGTGGCTGCAGGAGGCCGATCGGACTCTGATGTTCGGCTTTGACTTGCTGACAGGTAAGATATCTCCTGACGAACTCGGCGACGTCCTTCTTCATGCCTCGCCACCAGAACGACCCTTTCAGGTCGTGATACATCTTCGTGCTCCCGGGATGGGCCAGATAGGGTGCGGTATGAGCCTCTGATAAAATCTCCTTCCGCAACGCCTCGACCTTCGGGACCACGATCCTGCCTCTGAACTCTAAGGCACCATCGGCACCTAACTGGAAATCCTCGACGCCTCCGGCGCGAACCTTGGCCTCCATGACACGAACGAACTCGTCAGAAGCCTGGTCTCGCCGGATTCTCTCTCTCAGCGTCGGCTGAAGCTGCATAGCACTGACACTGGCACTGGTACTCCCCGAAACGGCTATGGGAAGTGCATCGATCTCCTGAAGCTGCATCCGGGCAAACTCCTGAATCAACGGACTCTGCTGCGTAATGACGTACGTCAAGTCACCCTTCACCTTTCGGCTAAGGGCGTCCGCGACGACGTTCGCCTTTCCCGGATGATACTGAATAGAGCAGTCATAATCCTTGACAAGTTCGAGCCAAAGGCGCTGTCTCATATTAAGCTCCTTCTGCGTGAAGATGTACTGCAGGCTCTTATGATCTGTGAAAATCTCGCAACGTCTGCCGTAAAGATAATGTCGCCAGATCTTGAGGGCATGAACGACTGCTGCTAACTCCAAGTCGTGCGTCGGATAGTTCTGCTCATGCGGCTTAAGCTGACGTGAAGCATACGCGATGACCTGGCCGTCCTGCATAAGGACACATCCCAAGCCCTGTCTCGAAGCATCGCTAAAGATAGTGAAACTCCGAGAAGGATCGGGAATAGTCAACACCGGTGCTGAAGTTAATCTTCTTTTGAGCTCCTGAAAGCTCGCCTCACATCGATTAGTCCACTCGGACTTCACAGACTTCCTCGTCAGCTGGGATAGAGGGAGGGCAATCTTAGAGAAGCCCTCGATGAACCTGCGGTAATAACCAGCTAGACCGAGAAAACTGCGAACCTCGGACGGACTCCTCGGTGTCGACCAGTTCTGAACGGCTGAGACTTTGGAAGGATCCACCTCGATACCTGCTTGAGTAATCACATGACCCAGAAAGGATACTTGCTGGAGCCAGAATTCGCATTTAGAGAATTTTGCATACAACTTTTCTCGTCTGAGGGTTTCAAGGACCACCCTCAGATGCACCTCGTGCTCATTCTGGCTCTTCGAGTAGATAAGAATATTGTCAATAAAGACAATAACGAACTGATCGAGGTAGGGATGGAAGATACGGTTCATGAGGTCCATGAAAACTGCTGGCGCATTGCTGAGACCGAATGGCATGACGATGAACTCGTAATGGCCGTAACGAGTCCTGAAAGCGGTCTTAGCGATATCTGACTCCTTAATCTTCAGCTGGTGGTAGCCTGATCGTAAATCAATCTTTGAGAACACACAGGCTCCCCTCAACTGATCAAATAAGTCGTCGATCCTGGGAAGCGGGTACTTGTTCTTGATCGTCAACCGGTTAAGATCCCGGTAGTCGATACACATGCGCATGGATCCGTCCTTCTTCTTAACAAAGAGAACGGGTGCTCCCCACGGTGACACGCTCGGTCGGATGAAACCGAGTCGTAACAGCTCCTGAATCTGCGCCTTAAGCTCCTGCAACTCCTTAGGTGCCATGCGGTACGGGGCTTTGGATACTGGACCGGCCCCTGGAATGAGATCGATAGAGAACTCCACCTGCCGGTTAGGCGGTCCTCCTGGAAGCTTGTCTGGGAACACATCCACAAACTCACGAACGATTGGAACATCATGAGGTGAGCGTGCTTTCTGAGAATCGTCGACAAGGCTCACCAGATAACCCTGGCAGTTGCCTCGTCGCAATAGCTTAGTGGCTTTCGCCATCAAAACAACATGAGGCAATGAACGATTCCTGGAGCCAAAGAAAGTGATCGACTCGTCTCCCGGAAGATAGAGAGTGATCTCCCGGTCATGACATCTGATGTCTGCATGATAGAAGGATAGCCAATCCATTCCGAGAATAAGGTCGAAATCCCTCATCTAGAGAACAAACACGTCGGTAGACAATACACGACCACCGATGGAAAGGCTAAGATCTGAGGCTTTAGCTGAGGTCACTATCTTTCGTCCCGAGGCTAAAATCACCTCGAGAGGATCGACAGCGGTAACGGTATGAACTACGATGGCATCAAGACATCGTCGTGAAATGAATGAATGCGTTGCTCCAGTATCGAACAAAGCGAAAACAGGAATATTATTAAGCACAACCATCCCTGACATAGTACCTGGCTGCTGTGCTGCCTCGACCTGGTCAACCGCATAAACCCGGGCCTGCTGTCTGCCCCTCTGCTGCTGCTGCTGAGGCTGCCTCTGTGCCTGCTGACGTGGCTGCTACTGCTGTGGTGGCTGCGGAGGCTGCTGAGGCTGCTGCTGAAGTCTCTTCGGACAGCGACTCGCAAAATGTCCAGGCTCGTGGCAATAGTAGCAGATGTCCTGTCCCATATGGCACTCTCCCCGATGAAGTCGTCCGCAAGTCGGGCACGGTGGAATCGGCTGCTGTCCTTGTCGGGTCCTCCTATCAGTCTGTGCACCCTTCCCCTTCCTCTTCTTCTCCTTTGCCGGCTGAGCAGCTGGTTGGGCTGGTGGAGCTGCGAATGGCTGAACTGGGACAGATGACTGGGCACGATCACGGACGGCCTCCCTCCTGATGCTAGCGTCCACCTCCTGGGCGATAGAAACTGCACGAGCGTAGGTCTGAGTCCCGTGTCCCACGATGTTATGACGGACTGCTGGGTAAAGCCCGTCGATGAACCGCTGCGCTCTCTGAGCCTCCGTGCGAACCAGGTCCGGGACAAAAGCTGCAAGTCTAGTGAACTCTCGCTCGTACTCGTCAACCGTACGAGTGCCCTGCTGGAGCGCTAAGAACTGACGCTCCATCTCTGCCCGATAGTAGGAGGGGTAGTACTTTTCGCGGACTAGCTCCTTGATCATGTCCCACGTACATCCCGCTTTTTCACTGGGACGCATGCTCCAGTAGGCATTCCACCAGAGCCGAGCATCACCAGTGAGCTGAAGCTGAGCGCAGATTACGCGATATCTATCGGGGCAGTCCATGACCTCAAAGATAAACTCCAGGCCCTGAATCCATTCATCTACAATGCGGGGATCTCCCTGCCCTGAGAACTTTTCAGCGTGATAGTCGCGGAACTGAGCGACTACAGTAGCCTGAGTAGGAGCCGGATGATCGGGTTCCCTACGTGGCGGCATCTGAACATTGAGAAAGTTTAACATTACTGAATACGTGATAACATTCTGACTGATTACTGAGGCACACAAATCTCTTGACGAGTTGCCAAAAATGGCCGATAATTACTGACATGAATCCTCAAGAACTCTAGAGTCATCAGAAGATACTAAAGTCTAGAGTCATTTCTGAATGCCCTGAATTCTAGAGTCATATCTGAAAGTCCTGACGTCTAAAGTCCGATCCTGATTCGAGCATCTTAAATAAAGTCCTGATCCTTAATTCTGAGCATAGACAAAGTAATATGTTTATAACTGAAAACATAAATCAGCACTTACCTGTCGTCGGCGGGGCGTGAGCATGACGGTTCAGGTTTTTCTGAAAAATTTCTGACTGAAAAACTTTTTCAGAGACGCAGAAACGTGCTCTGATACCAATTGTAACACCCCACCTTATCGTAAAATCAGAGGGCGAAAATTTCGCAAAGTTATTTAAAAATAAAACCTTTTACTTTGCGAAAACTGATTTGGGATGCTACCTTAAAAATGTGACTTAATTTGGAAAACTGTTATTTTAATTTTTTTTTTTTTTATAAAATCATACTGATACTGAAAGCATAATGTTTTCCAAAAGTCCGTCAAAATATAAGTACGTCAAAAGTCATCATCAGCGGAAACGTAAATCGTCATTATATATATACAATCAAAACATGAAAGTCCTGAAGCCATCGTCATCTCACACTCCCGGCCCGACGTCCTGACCTGAAAAACATGAAAACAATGGGAAATGAGCACTATGGCACTGTGCTCCGTGGAAACTCATACTAATGTAAACATTGAAAATAATAACAACATCATGATATCGGCATATACATAACCTCAACATGAAACCGGTAATAACATGAACATGAATCTGATATCGTCACGCAACGTGACCCTGACCGTTACCTCATCTGCCGGCAAAAACTAATGCCGGACACCATGTGCACACTCTCGTGGGCAGACTAGGGCCACTAGAACCCAGAATGGACCGGCGACCATTCCGAGCGGATACTGAATATACATACCTCAAACATGGTAACGATATTATAATCAATGTAGTACTTAGTCTGAGTCCCCACCTGAACTGCTGAAACTAAACGGTAGTGCTGATGCCTGATAAAACTGAAAATAATATAAACAATTACTAATGACTATGCTCAGACTGTTAACTTAACTGATTAATTTCGTTAAGATGCTCTACTGAACCTGACATGATATTTAGACTTAACCGGAATAACCGGAACTGAACTGACATGAACTGATCGGACATGAATTTACTGAACTGAAATAATCCCGGAAATTTAACTAAAAATACCATTAAATTCATGAATCGGGCTGAAACCTTAACATAAGAATCGACCGATTTAAAAATGGAACAGAACCAGTCCACCCGGTCCGAACCGGTCTGGACCGGACTGCCGGTCGACTGAACCGGCAGTCAGCATCGGCTCGGCCAGCAGCCTGCCGCGTGCTGCGTGCAGCGCGCACGGGCG